CCCATGTTTTAAATTAATTAGTGATGTCCCTCGTGACTCAGCAGAGACCAAATGGATTTGCTTCATGCTTTATTGAAGAGCTTTGCTACAGGAGGCTGAGGGCAGCAAGAGACGGGGGGAACGGGGGTGCCGTGGGTGCTCCCAGGGGAGGTGGCCCCAGGGATGGGTGTCAGCACCCAGTATAAGGCCAGGGCTGTCCTGGGTGCCTAGCACCCAGGTGGTGCATTTGCATATCATCTTTATATGCTAACTGGGATGGAAGAGCCCTGGTTTTCTCCCATTCCCAGTGCTGGGTGCTAACCTGGGTGTTGGTGGGAGAGGAGCCGAATGGGGCATGGGGGAATGAGCAGGCCAGAGCAGGTGGGAGCTGCCCTTGACCGAGGAAGGGCTGAGCTGCTTCTGCAGCATCCCCTTACCCCAGGGTGCACCAGGAACAAATCTGCAGGGAAGCAGCAGCCTGAAAGAACCCTCTAACTGGGCTTTCCAAAGAAAGGGTTGGGTAGTTTAGTGCTTAACAGCCGCTGAAGGATATTATTTCTTTTTGGTGAAATTGTCTAATCAATCACTTTTTAATTCAGCCAGCTCTGGCACCCGTGCCACCCTGGGACGCTGTAGGCTGCTGTTTATGTGCAAAGAGAAATACGGCCGGCTCACTACTGGCCACCCGCCTCCTGGGCTCAGTCCTGCTGCAGAGGGCAGGCAGTGCCCCTCTGGATGACAGCCTCCCCTGGCACCCACCCCCTGCCTCTGCCGGCTCTGGCATCACCATGGCACCTATTATTTTCACTGCCCCCATTGCTTGGCATCACGAGACCCACCCTGCTGAGGAAAGGGGGAACAAGGCAGGCCAGTGCAGGTCAGCCGTGGGGAAGAGGTTTCCAATGGCAAGGATGTGCCGGTGCTGCTATAGGGAGATTGTGGTTGGGGTCAGGGCAGAGAGAGCTGGTTAAATCACAAACCAGAGAAGATACAGAGCCAGGAAAATGTTGGTGCCAGTACGGGGACAGCAGGGTGTTGCCATGCCTATGCCCAAGAATGCTCAAGGGAGCAGCATGTGCAGCCACCTCCCAGTTCCTGCCTCCTGTCAGGGCAAAGCCATGGCACAAAACCTTCCCCGGGGTCCCATCCCCCCCCCTGCACCAGCCGGGGCACACCACCTCCCTGCCCTGCTGTGTGGCCACGGCCACCTCCCCTGGGCTGAGGAGAGCCCTGGGGGCTGCAGCACCTTGGGGAGGTTGGCTGGTGCCAGCTGCTGACCCAGTGGAAGCTGCCCTTCACCCCAGCACAGAGCCGCCTAGGCATCGCTTTGGGCTGCCAGTAGCCCCCAGCCAAGCCCCTGCGGCCCGGTGCCCTTCCCGAAGCTGCCGACAGCTCCTGGGGTCAGGGCCTGGCTGCCCAAACCTGTGCAGGGGACAGGCAGGTGAGCACCTTCCCACAAACCGTTAAACAGCTAAACCCCCCCCAAAATGCCACGCTGCTCCTTGATGATGTTCAAGCCTTGTCTAAACCTGCCTCTCAGGTTTGAGGTTTTTATTTTTCCTTCCCTGGCCATTGCTCTTCGAAGTGCTGCAAGACTGAATCCATCCCCGATGCCAGTTTGATCTCAGATTTACAGCCCAAGCCCCGAAATCCTCCGCTGCTTGTGAGGTCCTTTGAGAGAATCACAGCAGAAAGTGTTTATTTCCATCATAAAGATCTGTTTTAATATTTTAACATAAATCAAGCTGTGCTTTATGGTGATAATAAATTTGTTGGCAGAAACTGCCTTTGCAGCCTGAGGCAGTGGAGCAATTCAATTTGTTTGGTTTTAAGTGTAAGGAGCCATAATTGAGAAGAGGAAAGTACAGATGTTTTAACTGAGTTTGCAGCTACCACCCAGAGTTGCAGGAGGCTAACAGAGAAGACGTGAGGGTCTCCATTAGCCTCTCCACTTGCTACTTCTCCTTGGCCTGCAGCCCCATCAGTCATGGCTGTCCCCTCCAAGAATAGCTGCTCAGTGCATGCATGAGAGGAGGAAGGGGGTGGAAAAAGAAACCAGACTAAACCAGATGTATAATGTGCATTTTATTGTTTTTAATCCCATTTTTTGAAAACTAATTACAGTCAGGACAAGCATCACATGAGAATCTGTAATAATGAATTGTTAGTGTTGACAACAGCCAAATAAAAATACTCATTTGTGATGGGTGAGTGGAGGGAGCTCCTGCCCCGTGCCGAGCTGGGGTCACCCAGCGTACCCCCAGCCAGCGCTGGCTCCACTGAGCCGTCCCCTTCCCACTTTCTCCAGTAATTTTTAAGGCATTGCTATGTCATGTTTTATATGAAAAATGTTCTCTCTGCCGTAGAGCTGCTTTCTGTTAATCACCCTGATTCCTCAGACAGATTTGTTTTGCTGCTGTGCAAGGACAGTGGGTGTCCAGGAATTCATGGTTATTTATTTAAGAAAGCACTCGTGTTCCTTGGGGATCAGAGTCCTTCTTGGTAAGGTACCACGGCAAAGGCTGGGTCCAGGATGCGAGCCCTCACTGTGCCCCTGCATCCAAAACCTGGATCCAAGCAGCTCTTAGAGGTAAGGCCTCTTAGAAGTCACTGCCACACACCGTGCTGAGGAGAAGAGGTGGTCACCCAGGCCAGGGAAGGGAAGGCACATCTTTAAATGTAAGAGATGGCAGGAGAGGGTGGGCCAGGCTGGGCTCCCTCCCTCCTCCCACCCACCTGGGTGTAGGGGCAGGAAGGGAGGGAGACCAAGGGCAGTCCTAAGAGGGGAAGGGAGGATGAGAGGAGATGAAATAACAGAGAACAGCCCATTCTCTGGCTGGCAATGAAATGTGAAAGCAAGAGATTGAAATGGGCTCTTGAAAGGATGGAGGCTGAGCCAAGTGCCTTGCAAAGCACAGGCAGCCTAGGGCAGACAGTGCAGTAGGAAAGGTCTCAGCCCCTTCCATAAACCCACACCTGTGCACTTGTGCAGAGGAACAGCCCCTGCAACCTCTCCAGCTTTCCAAAGGCTCATTTCATCAGCATTAAATTTCTTCCTCCGGCTCTGCCTAGTTCCCAGCTGCCTCGCAGGTGGCTCTCAGCTCAGCTGCCCCATGAATTTGCCCTCCAACCTACCTCTTCCTAAATGAGACACCAGCACCAGAAACCTGTAAAATAACTTGTTAATTTGGCACTGAAGATGCCACATCAGCTTCCCCAGAGCACTTGGGGATGTTTAAACTCACTAGCGAGGGCTGCCAATGCCTGTTTAGGATCAAGTCGGAGAGGAGGCAAACAGTCCCCCCGGATCCTCTCCAAGCAGCTTGGCAAGGATACAGTGGCAGTGCTTAGGCTCGAGAGGTGCAGGGTTTTGCTTTAAAAGCCATGAAGTGTTTTTATACAGCTCCAGGTACTTGCATATTCCCCCAGGAGAAGCACTTCAGATCATATGGAAACCAGAAAGTCCTACTTGAAAACAGAGCTTGATTAAAAAGAGCTGCAGTTCAAAGCTTGCTTTAGTGAGCGGCAACACTTAATACTGCGGCAAGTGCAGAGGGCAAGAGGATCTAACATAAGTGACATGCACCTGGCTTTGAACCTGCTTTAATAAGGGGGGTTTAAAATATTTCAGGTGAAAACTTTTAAAGTTCTTCCTTTTGTTAGGAAAACCCATATGATCTTTGCTCAAAGTCCTCAGAGCACAGGACCCAGTGTTGTTTGTCACCATGTGGTATTCTAGTGACCACCAGTAGCCTCAAAAGCAGAGACTCGCATAGAGCATTGGCTGCTTAAGGTAACAGGCAGCACAATTCTCAGATAAGCTGAGCAGGACCAGCCCAAAGCCCACCTTAATCCTGTGCAGAAAGCAAAGGGGGAAGATTCAAGCCCAGTTCCAGCAGGGTTTCAGTTTTTGCTCCCCCATAGCACTTGGGAGCTCTGCTCCTGCAGGCAGGCAGAGCTGAGCCAGGGCACTGCTTGCTTCCTCCTGGCACAAGCCCATTCCCTTGAGTTAACACCCACCTTGTTTCAAGGCTAATTACCCAGCGCAGGAGGCTGAAATGCATCAGTGTGCACTGCCAGAGCTCTTGCAGGCCTCACACGTGTCAGGACTGGGTAATTAGCACCTCCCCAGCCCACGCCAATCCTGACCACTGGAGTCAAGGTCTGGCTGGTTGTATCAGCCCCATGCAAAGGTGAGAAAGGGAGAAGGGCTCTGCCAGCTGAAGCCACTGAGCTGCATGCAGGAGCCAAGGGAAGCAAGGCTCCAGTTTCCTTTCCAGGGGCGAAGAGCTGTATCCCTGCCTAGGGGCATTGCTCGGTTCGGCTGGGGCTGCCACAGCACAGGAGAACAGGAAGAGAAGTGTGAATGCAAACTCCTGGGCTGGAGAAATCCAGCTCTAAGCAAAAGATCCCAGATCCCAGGCAATCCATGATGCACAAACAGGTTAATGTCTCTAGAAAAAGAAAATGTAACAGCACAAAATTATTCCCACCCTAATTTCTTCCCTCAACTGCCACAGGAGGTTGGTTTGAAGGGGTCCCAGCAGAAAGAAGAGACCCAGTTCTCCCAAACTCCTGCCGGATTCTGCACAGCACATCCCTGCCTTTGGAGAAGAGACATTTAGCCAATTAGTGTAGTGAGCAGTCAAGACTGTCTGCTCTCCTGTGTGCTGAGACCTGCAGCACACAGAGAGCCACTGTAGGGACAGAGAAAGTGATGCTCCAACAGAGCTGAAGGCAGAAATGGCTGGGCACTGGTTAATCGTGCAGGCTGCCAAGGGCTCAGCCCCATGGCTTTGTATAGTGGCTCTGAGAACCAGGATTGTAACAAGGCTGAGTCTACTCCATCCACACCTAAAATGGAGTGAAGAAAGTCTGTGTCCAGGTCTAACCTGTACTACCAAGCCGATGGCCTGGAAACTTCCATTCACAATGCCTTTCCCCTGCTCCACAGTCCCAGAGGGGGAGCTGAAATGCTGAAGTCTCTGGAGACCAGGAGGGAGCATGCCACTACTCCCACATCAGAGTTTTGACTCGCTCAGGACAATGTTTGCAGTCACAAACACAAAGCAAGAAAAGCCCCATATGAGCACAAACACAATCCAGCAGGTGTGCCGGAAAGGGGAGAGGTGCTTGTTAACCGTCCCACTGCCGAAGACCAGCCGAGTGTCCTTCCGACTGCAGTACGCAAGGAAAGCTGGAATGAGATACTGGATCCCGTTCCCAGCATAGGCTCCTGTGATCCCCACCAAGGACTCCAGATCGTGGGTGCAGAAAGCCACCAGCACTGGGGGAATCAGCGTGATGGCAGGAAAGACAATCCTATCCACCACCCATGGGTAGGTCCCCCCTTCTCTGTGGAAAAGGGTCTTCCAGTTGTTGCGCAGGGTCACTGCAATGATGGGGAAGTTGGTGCTTATGGTGAAGACAGGGAAGAGGCCCAGGAAGTAACGAATGAAGGCAACGTTGATGATCTCACAGTTGGTGAAGTTGAGCGTGTACATGTCCATGAGGGTGTCATTGCGGAAGCAGTAAATGGCAGTGAAGGACAGGAGACTGTAGAAAGCCAGGATCAGCAAGTAATCGAGCAGCACGAGCTTGTTGACATGCTTCTTCTTGGAGATGGGTGTGATGAGGGATGGCAGGGAGTGCTGGCACATGAAGGAGTAGACACACACCCCAAAGAGATTGCGGATGCCTGGCAGCTGGGCCACGGACGGGTGACCTTCAGCTTGGCCTCTGCCAATACGGATGAGAGCCAGAATAATCATGAGGATGAAAGCTGGAGAGAGAGAAGGTTTCAGGTCAAGCCCAGGTGTGCACTCCCCATGACCCTCCTCCTATCCCTCCTCCTATCGGCACTGGCAGTCTTAGCACCAGCTCCCTCTCCGACTCCACAAGAGCATCTCCTTATCTCTGGAGAAGGCGGTACATCAAAGGCAAGGTGCACAGGAATTAATCACGACTTGCTTTCAGTCCTATTCAGCAGATAAGGGAATGCCCTTGGGACTGCCTTTGGTAGGCATCTCGCTCCATCTTCTTCTTGCAGGGACTCACCCTCCCACCCCCGACAGCAAACGGTTGCTCTGGGCCCTTCAGAAATGTAAAGCTAACATGGCTGGCTCAGCCCATCGCCCTCAAGGGTCTCAGTCCATGGATGCTTCTGCCATGCACCTTGGCTAAATATCACCATTTAAAAATGGCTTAGAGATGTTTGAGCTTTGACCTCTAAAGGAAGAAAAGATTAAACCTGGCTGCAGTCAACCCCACTAATATTCCTACACATTTGCAACTGGACTAATGTTTCCAAGACCTCACCTACATACACAGGCAGATGCACGGGAGCAGCAGCTACTACAGAGCTTTCCTGTCCCTGTGATCTGTCAAGCATGATAGAGGAAGAACTAGCCAGCCATTTCCCGGGCAGGAGGAACAGGCTGTCTGTAGTTAATCCCAGGGTGGAGAAGCCAGTCTGGAAGGGACTAAAGCAGCACTAAAAGACTGCTATTAAAATTCATCACTTCTAGGCACAAAGTCTGTTGTCTACCCTTCACTTATGTCAAGGAAAAGCCTAACAACATTTTACAAAGCTTATCACAAAAAGCAAAGTGCTATGGACAAAAATGAATTGAGGAGATTAGGCTAATGCCTTTATTTACTCCACTGGTGGAAATGTGAGCCAGAAGCAGTTACTGCTAGAGCGTTATTCCTAGCATGGCACATAAAACCAGCAGAAAACTAATTCTGGTGTCACAGAAATCACATCAACCTGGGAAAGATGATCATCAGCTGCTGGAGTTAACAAGGAACAGAGGAAAAAAACCTGCCTGGCAGGGCAGCAAGCAGCAAGATTTACAGCCTGGTGCTGGCAATGGATGGGCCACTGTGGCTTGCACAAAGCTGTCTCCTGCACTGTTTTGAGGCATCGGAGCAGAGCTGTGAATTATCAGGTAATGAGAAAAAATAGCAAAGTGCTGACACTACTACTATGGACAACTTTGAATGTCATAAATATAAATACAGGGCAATTAAACAGAGCAGTGCACAGTCCTGCCGCCAAGCCCATAGGAGGCTGGCCACTGGCACTGTGAGCCGGGCAGGCTCGCAGTGGGGTGACAAGGACACTGGCTTGCTCTGTGTCCAGTACTGCTCTGCCTGACACAGGCGGCTGGAGATGGGAAACACTGGCAGGGATGGGACTAGAAGGGATAGTTACAGACCAGTTAGCAAACACTGCTTCTTTTGTCCCCAGCAAGACTGGGTTAACCTTAACTGAACATTGCCTCCCACGCACTCCCAGCACTCTCCAAAACACAGTTTCTCCTCTCACAGCAATCCTCCTTTTTTTCCTGCGGCAAACACGAGCTTCGTGCTGAGCCCTTACCAAGCCACGTGCTGCATTTTACCTTGTGCTGCCTCAGGAAACTTCTCGCTTCCAACTGTTTCCCAGTGACAGGGCAAGTCCGTGAAAACTGGACTGGAGAGATGACAGCACCTTCATGGCACCACAAGGGCCAGGCCACTTTGGGAGTGCTGGGCTCTATTTACTTCCCCAAGAGCAGTCACAGAGGGCTACGGAAAGCAACAGCTCATTGCTCTGGGGGTGTGCAATTCCCCTCGCCTTCACTCAAGCCAGCAAGCGAGGTGCACTGTGAACACAGGTACAGTTGTTATGCCTCCCCCATTGCTCCCCGGAGGGGAAACGCTTGCCAGCCATATCTGCTAGAGCAAGATAGTCTGAGAGAGCTGTGTTCCAGCTACACTCCCCAGGCTTGTACAGGCTACGAGGAAGAGAAGGTGCCCAGAGCAACAAGACAAAACAGGTTAGGCAGCTCTGGAAATATGCTGAGACAGTTCCTTTCCCTCTCGCTTGGGAGAGGTGGTCAGCCTCTGAAGCCCAATCCTGAGCAGTTCCTCTAACTGGACTAGGCACCTCTTCCCCTGCACACCAGACAGTAAATCTCTGCCTGCTCTGCTCAGCAGAGTGAAGAGTGAACTATTTCCATCCACCAACTCACTCTTGCCATTGGCTCAAAACTCCACTTTCCGCACCAGTGCTAACAGGACCAGTTCAGGGGAACCCCCAGGCTTGCACCCCATCCTCAGAGCATCTCTTCAGTTAGAGGCCCACAGGCTCTCCTCTGCCCCAGCACACGTTTTTCTGGCAGGGAGCACTGAAGGTCAGGTTTCCAGTGGATTCCCTAAATAATGGATAGAAGTATATTGTTTAAGAAGCTAGAATTCATAACACCTTTGTTTTTCCTCAAATACTTCTTTCAGAAATTAAACCTATTAAAAGTTAAAGTTACAAGGAGTGATAATCCAATACTAAGATCTAAACTGATGCTGTTTCCAACAAGGCAAGCTGTGCTCCCTTTGCCCTAGCAATGGTGCTCTGCAGATGCATGATCCTTGACAGTGGTGGTGCTGCGTAAACTGGAAGCCTCCCCTGCACAATTGCAGCCCCAGAAAAGAGAACAGCAGCCCTGCTCCAATGGTTGTGTTTTCTCTTACTCCCTGCAGCAGAAGAGTGTCTCACTCCTGGAACAGGAGAGCTAAAGCATTTGCATGCCTGATTTATCTGCCTGTCCCTGGGAGGAGGCAAGCCCAAAAATGAAACTCTGAAACCTAGTTATGCTGGATGACAAATCAAGATGAAAAGAAGATGACAGACTGACTGACAGGCAGCTTTGAGCAGACAAGAGGCAGCTCAGGATCCTGCAGGTACACACAAAGCTCCTCCTCACATTGTCCTCTCCCTGGGACAGCAGGCTGAAGGCAGTCATACCACACTATTTCAAGTCACCTACAGTTGCCACTTCAACTGTCCAACAGTGTTCCTTCACCAGAAAGACCCTGGTGAAGTCAGATATGAGTTCACAGAAAAATGCCTCGATCTGTTCCTCTACACACAGGACAGAGGAGATAAGCAACATGCTCCAGGGATGAAACACCTTCAGACACCATGACCAACAGCACCCAGAGCCACAAAGCAAAGTGAACAGAGATGCCACCATAGATTGTTAGTAGGTTACATGAAAACTCTTTTTTAAACCTTGTTTTATACAAGTGCTTAAAAAAGCAATCGAGGGTTTTGCTTGTCCTGATTTTTCAACAGCGTCAGACCCACTCCAAATAGAGAGGCTTTGCAGTCAACAAGGCACAGAGGACACTTCTACTTGTCTCATCTTCTCTCCTCTAGATGTTTGAGCATCCTTCTTACTGAAGGATGTAAGTGAAGCTGTGGGAGGAAAAAAAAAGGGGGTATGCATAAAAGAAAAGTTGTGATGAATCTCATCACTGCTGCCCAGTTGCCTCCCCTACAGACCCCTCATCTCACTCTTTGAGGAGCAAACACTGGCTCTTCTTGGACAAAGCAGATCTTGCAGACAACTACTGCTGCCCATCCTGCTCGACTCAGAGATAGGGCACCTCTCCTATGGTTCTTGCAGGTGGAAGAAGCATGAATATGGATGAGCACACATCCAAATAAGAGCACTTTGGGAAAACATGAAATTCTGGGGATATTAAAAAACAGATTTTTGTGAGCTTTGATAGAAGTGTAACAGAGCTGCAGAGAAGCAGTGAAGATAATTTAGCCATTCTAAGTCTAAGGATTGTTTTGCAGAATCAGAGCAAACACCTTTGTAAATGAAAAATGCTGTCTTGTACATGAGCTTCATCTCTTTGCAGAAAGGCTATTGCAGAAAAAAAGACAGAGTTGTCCAAGGCTGAAACATGTTTTTCCCCATCATGGTAGGTTCCTGGAAGAAGAACAGATGCTCAGAATAAGTTTCTGGCTTAACCTTCCCTTGCACCCCTGGCAAGACACTATGCTTTTGAGATGTTTCACCTGGTGCCCCACATCTGTCTCTCTATTGGCATGTGGAAAATAATGGAGAAGATCCTGAACTGAACCACGCTGGGAAACAGGAAGGAAAGAGATGCTCCATCATGTAATTCAGAAAGAGGTAGCTTGGCAAGGGGGAAGCAAGCTCAAAAGTGAGGGTTTGCAGAACCATGACCTTGGATAACCTCTGTGATCCCAGAAAGGAGGGCCAGAGACAGATGTTGCCTTCCAGGATCAACAGTGAACTTTGACCTTCAAAGCATTGGTCCCAGTTAAAACAAGGATGGTTTTAGTGGCTCTAGAAAGCATGGGGGCAGACAGCCACAAACCAGGGATAAGTAAAAGATTCACTGGGGAAAACAAAACGTCAAACAGAACAAAGGTTACATGACAACCACCTGTATGTTAAGAGTCAGAAAGGTAAAGACGGAGGAAGAACGATCTTGCACACCCATTCACCACAGCTTGAGCCACATCATCTCCAAGTGTGTCCCTACACTCATTCCTCCTTCCATGAGGAAAGCCTGGCAAGAACATGACCATACCTGCCTGCCATCCCTTCCAGGGATCAGAGAGGCAATGGCGTGCAGCCACACCACCCCACTATTAGCGGAGCAGCCCACACCTGGCTGCTCCCCTACCCCCACCCACAGCCATTTGTTTAAGCAGATGCTGTGTTGTGCTGCTGACACGTTTGCAGCAGGGCCATCCGTCACCACCAGCTGACAGTGTGACAGAGCTTTCTTGTCGAAGCGGAGAATCAATATGCCAGGAAATAATGATAATGAATCACCCTTTCACAATGCATGCCACTTGCTTCCCTTTTCATACATTAGGTGGCATGATGGATTCCAAGAGGAGGATGTTTTCATGAGCTTCCTGAGCCCATTCTCTCTGGAAGGAGGAAGATCTTTCCCCACCTTAACCTTGAT